GTTTGGTTATTTACTCATTTAGACAAATAATATGATGTGTTAATTTACTATAAGTAAACATGTACTTACTGGTCAATTAGAATATTTATTAATAACTGTTAATGACATTTTAAAGCTTCTAAGAACTAAAACGTAAAAAATAATTCTCAAATAACCAAAACGTAAAATATTCCAAAAATATCATTTTGTAGTAAATCAATTATTATTATATACCTACGTGAAGTTAAAACTTTTGGCATACAAATAATATGTAATATTTATGAAATTTTGTAAACGCATTTTAATAAAAATTCGCTATAATGATTGGTAACGTGACACCGCGTTATCAAGAACGATTTGAATTATACATAAGACGTGTAGCAAGCAATCAAGTTTACAATGGAGTTTAAGGATATTAGGCTATTATTGTTCTTATTTCACATAGAAATAAAGTTTAATTTAGATAAACAAATTAACTGGTTTTATACATATGAAAGATGTACGACCGCCTACTCGACAATGAACCCTAGCATTTGTTCTGCTGAAACAATTAGCAGCGCGTCGTGAATCGAACGAGACTTTAATAACACCGACTATCAAATGAACAAATCAAACTAATTTTCATAAAAAAATATTTTACTTATTCAGTTATATTTACGTAAGTTCAATACTAACAGGGCCTTACCAGACACTAAGGTCAGATTATTTACTTACAAATATTAATTACAATGAATGCACTGTCTATACTTAGCACAAGCAAATGTTAATCAAACAATACAAAAAAAATACTTATTAATTATTATAAATATCGTATTGTGGGTGGGATCCCGATTTATGTAAATAAATGAAGAAAAATATGATAATAAATTAACGTTACATACATTTTTATATTATTTCTAGTCGCAAGTTGGTGGAATCTATCGTTTAAAGCAATAGCATCCTAATTACATAGGCAATTACTTATGCAATCAATTAGTGTATCTGTGTTTCTGAATGTCACTACCCGAGCCAAATACCATCTTTTTATTGAGCAACACGTCAAGGCAAACCACGTATTAAAATATTAAACAATATTCGTGTTAGGAAAGCATACCTTGACAGCTGTTGAGTTGACCATACCACATTGATCTAGTGGTATACTCAATGCAAAGGCTTAGGTTAGAAGGGAATCAAGGGTTTACTTATGTACATTTATACTAAGCGACATAGGTATTATGTACATAATAAGTTCTTGCATGTAAATTGTTATTTTTGAAATAATAAATAAGATTCAAAATATTTTTAAATGTTTTTAATTCAATTTCTCCTACAGGGCCTAATTGAACTAAGTACAGGGTTACAGACAATTAATAATAAAATAACAAGGCTCTGGATGTACATGGATATAGTAATATTATTAGAGTACAACGTTTTGTCAATTCATATGACATTTACAATGCAAAGAATACAAAAACAAAACGGAAGGCTCTATTTGCCGTATAGGCTCGGATCACCGTGACGAAATGGCATCAAGTCCCACGCGGAATCTCATTTCGCTTACACAGTGTACAAGGAAATAATCCGAGTGGTTATTATATACATGCGATGCTAACTGCCACCTCAGCTCCCACGATCGACACTTATTGTTTGAGCTGCATTCGAAGGTTTCTGCAACGTCTAGCTGTTGGGAAACATAGGCTACTAAGGCCAGAACCGGCTATTTGAGAAACCTTTCGAGTTTCGATTGCGAAAAGTGTGGAAAGCTTGTATTTACTCGCATGCAGATATTGTCAAGTAAGTCGTAAGTAAACACTCGAATGCGTATATAAGATACGTTAGGAAATTGTGAATACGCTTCATAAGCCATGTGCTATAGTTGATGTTGTATCCTTACGCTAATAGTATTTTTAAAAATAACAATCAAGCGTAATAACAGCAACTTTATCAACACACGTGGAGAGCTAATCGCGTCGCGTGACCACCACAACTAACATTAACTTCGCAATTAACTCGCGGATAATATTATTAATACATCAAAATAATAACAAGTCATAGCGCACGTACTTGTACACTAACCACTATCTTATATATCTTATTGCCTTGTGAGTTGCGGTATTTGAAAGAAAATAAGAGTCTTTGTAAATTATTTTATTACGAACCGTAAATGACATAAAAGCGTGACTATTTCATAATACCTATACGTTAGAAATACATTCGATTTTCAATTACATACTACGTATACGTTAAAGCGCGAATTGGAAATTAATATTTTATACAATGTCTACATTACGTTTTGCGTGCGAGCGGAGCGCGATCGTACGCTCCGACGCCCCACATGATTACATGCCTTACTGACCAACTCACAACAAAAGAATTAACTAGGTAATTCTATGATTATCAATAAGCATAGTGCCAAAATTAATTTTTTGTGTTTTTTTTTTCTATTTATGCTTACTTTAGTAGCCTGCGACAGATTTTGCCAAAATTCTTAATTGTTATAACTAATAATTATTTATAATACATAATTTAATTAAGTAAATAAAACAAAAGAAAGTCTTAAAATACTACCTGTAGAGTTTTACTACCCCCTAAAAGTTTTAAAATGTCAACAATAGCATACACGAACAAAGGAGTTGCAGGACAAAGGCCTCTTTTATCTTATGCCAAAAAGAAAAAAAACGTTATAGTGCGGATCGGTTGTATTTGTAAATAGGCAGCAGGTAGAAGGTTGTGTAGTAGGTGTATTTTCGAGCTCAACGGTTTAAAAGATTTTTAGTTATTGAAAAGAAAATAAAAGAATTACGATGCACCTTTCAAAATTCCCACTGGATTCTATAGCTAGCGTAACTGACTCTCGCCATGAGATCGCATGTGTAAAGTTACCTTCATAGTACAACAATAAGTATAAGGTACCTTTATGAAAAATGACTAAAATCTGCAGAAATGCTATTACAAATTTTTGATTGTTTAAAATTTTAATAACTGCTATATTTATATATCTCTGTGGGTAATAATAGAATATAATAACGCTATGGTATTTATTATAGAATCCAAGTACGTAAACCGAGACCAGAACACCATTATTTAAATACTTAAACACTCAACGTTTAAATTACAAAGCAGTTAGATAGGCGTGAGTTAGTTTAAAAACTTGTTTATGAATATTCAAAACATGTGCCTATATTTTATTATACATAAGTTGGCCTGCATCTCTACCCCTTACATTATATGCTCCTCGGAATACAAAACAGGGCAGCTCCAAGCAACAAGTGGCTTATACGCAATATAAAGAAACCACAAAAACCGTGAGCAGGTAGCTTATAAAAGGGCAAACGATTTATAACCATGTGAATTAGCTAATAGAACCGGTTTTACTCTACCACTAAGGATAGGGCCAAAATCGAGTTCGACAAGCAATAGTGACCTTAATTACAATAACAGAAGGGTCGTTTCTATGAGCGCAATGAACATAATGGGTACCACCAGTCACTCCACTTAACTGTATCTGCTCTCTACCCCTGCTGAGATTCGAAAAGGATTTGTCAAGAAATAACAACGAGTGAGATAGGAGACAAAAATAGGAAGATTAATATAGGTTAAGGATGAAATTGTCATTTTAATCTGGTACCTACCTGCTCTTTGTGTAAGTTACCTATTTGAAATTTAAAGATTTTTGGTTAAAAATGAAAATTAATTAATTTGCTTGAGGTAGAAAGCACCTACCATTTAGGCTACTGTAGTAAGAAGGCATAATAATAATTATTATTTATTGTGTATTTAGACTTATTTGTTTATTTATTTATTTAAGTTCTCATAAAAATAACAACATAATTAATATTGTTAAAAAATTTAAGTAATTTATACTAATGAGTAATGAATGACTGAATGAAGCTTTTGCGCTAAGCTACTTTGGATACATTAATAATGTTAATCAAATAAATATAAAGTCATTTCAGATTCAGAGTAGATAATATAAGTACTTTTACTTTTCAAGGAAAATATTATGTCGAATCAGATTCTTGATTCAACTACTTGCACATACTGAGATAAGTTTTGTCGTAACTCGTAACTATAGGAACAGAACGCGAAATAGCAATGTTGATTTCCGTGTGCTATAATTATGGCAGTCGGAACTACAAACAGGCAGTAAAAAGCATGAGGGAAACTAAACTTGTACAAAATGTTTTAAAAATTTATAAACCACTTTATCCAGTGCTATAAAATATGAATTAGAAAAAAAACATATTTTTAACAAAATGTATGACCAAAAATGATACGCAGTCATACTTTAATCAAAAAGTTATAACAAGCAATCAATCAATATTTTTTATATTATAATAGCAACATTTAAATTATTTATTAACAACATAGTATTTTCATTTATGTTTTTGTGTTTTATATAAGTTATTATCTATTATCTCCTTGTTTTTATATCTCGGTACATTTCAGTTGGAGTCTTATGTTTATTGTTGTAAAAATAGAAATTTAATAGTAGGTAAATAATTTATACAGAGCACGTGGAGTATTTTTGTGTTTTACTATTTATTGGGGAATAATAAAAAGTGTATTTGATCAATACTTTACGAGACGAGGAAGTTTATAGAAATGTATTTTTTTATAAATAAGTTTTTTTTATAAAAAATAATAATAATGAGTATAAGAATACTAAAAATTTCGTACTTGAAGCTAACATATTTTATTACGTTACGTTAATTATCAATGTAATACTAAAAGACATGTAGGAACCTAATAATAATTATTTTTGTGAGTAATAAATGTATGTTTACATTTTTATTTCGAGGGCTATAAAATAATCGGCTGATGACATTTTTTCATAAAGGTAGGTAGGTATAATTATTGAGATGTTTAGCAAATGAACCATAGATCGTATCTGAACTTAAAGATTAGTTTTAATTAGCCAGTCCTAAATACAAGTTACTTACCACTTGCCAGTGTTAAAGGCGTGATGATCGGTTACGATAATTTTTAATTTAAATTTGTAGGTGGTTTGAAATATAAAAAAGTAAATAAACTCTTCTTACCTTCAAGAACAGATCACCAAATTCGTACAGCGCAGACTGATGCATTATAGCGGTAGACATTATGTAAAACCAACTCGGCACTAGTTACGATCCAGGTTTTAAAAGCTTGCTTTACGTTATTAACGTACGATTATTTCACTAAGGCACGAATTTGGTAGGTAGACTCACTGTTACTAAAGTAAGTTGGATAAAGTTCACGTTACTTTTAACAAGAATTTTTGAAAAACCGTTGTAAATACGATTTGCGAAAGAAATGTAAGTCGATGCGTGTTTGTTTTTTCGTTCGGTTACCATAGATTGAGTCCGAACTAGTTGGCTGGGGGCAATGGTCTTTTTTTATTATGCCCTCCACGATTAAGCCAGATATGTAATTTTTGAACACAATTTCGCAAAAGATGCGAAAATGTACAAAACAGTCCTCAGTTTCGAATTGTCTTCACTGTTTTCGCGTCTATACGGAAATTCACAAATATCGGTCAAAACTCTGCGCGAACTACATCGAAGTAAACTTTAGACAATAAAAACTTTTTACTTGTCCAACTTTATACTCCAAAATGTCTATGATTCTGGCTGCATAGGCCGTAAGTAAAAAAAGTAAGTCGCAGTGTCAACGTCCGCGCAAAACGCACCACACGTTCATTCCGTATCACGCTTGCTCGCGCACTGAACGGCTGAGCCTGCAATTCGGTTTGCCCGTGACTCGTGAGCCGGCAGCGGGCGGGTGGATTTTGTTTTCAAATCAAACAGCACGATCACGTTTTGAAGCGAGATTCGTTTTCCGCTCGGGTACGCTCGGACGACGTCGGTAATATTCGGAGGTATGTTTTGTTGTTGCCTGCCCGCCACAATAAAACTGATAAAACTCCCTCATCACGGTCCTGTCTTGCGTTGTATATATTTAATAAAATGTACATAATCAAGTAAATAGACACTTTATTCATATTTATAATATCCGCGGATATATTTTTTATTACTTAACTATAATTGATTTGGTATAAGTACTCGTTCAAGTTGTTCAAATGAATAGCAATTTACCAAAATAGGTTTTCTTATTTGATATTATTAATTGCCTATACCTAGGTATCAAGTACTAATTGAAGCATCAAAAAGTAACAATGACTTTTAAAATACCTATGCAACCACTTTTGAATGTTAAAAGGTTTTTTGCTAATCGTCCGATACATTTATTATTAGACGATAATAAGATGGTACTTAACACTCATGTTTAACCAGCCATATTATACTTATATAGACATATTTTACATTTTGGTGAGGAAGTGCTAAAAAATAAACGGCCAGAACGGCGAACAAACGCAAAAACTTGTAATTTTAGAGCTGGTTCGACCAATAGAGGTATCCACCGCCCGCGCTTGTTTTCGAGTAGATACCACATTGTGAAAAGAAGCGAGTCGGAACAATTAATTATGTATATATGTATACTTTTTTAGAAAATTGTTAATAGCTAGATACTATCTGTTATGATAAAGATGTTATACTTACATTGTTTTGTGTATTTAACATCTTATAAAAGATTAATTTGTAAAATTGTAATTACATATTGATTTCATTTCAATAGATCTGTAAATTTTCCTTTATTAACCTTTTTATTTAACTTTATTTCAATTGATTTCGCCCCAACTAAGCGTTATTGTAAAACGCTATGTTACTCGCTACTCCTAACACAATGAACAAACAAAGCTTGCTGCGTCCCTCGAGCAACTTTTTATTATGGCATTCGTTGGTTGCAAACCCGTTTGACGGTTTTAGTGTTATGCGCTATGTTGCACCGAGCTTACGGGAACTGGAGTCTGTTCTAGGTAGAACGCTCTTGACTAATTAATAGAAACCCTAGTTTTGGTAAGAGAAATGGTAAAAGTTATATTGGTAACCTCGAAATTCTTTAACTTACTAAACTTAGGTTAGGTAAAAGTAGGAGATAAAAGTAGTCTTTTGTAAAAGTTAAGTATATTTTTATTCAGTGGAAGAAAATCCACGTATCAATGAGCATGCTTCCTGCACTTTTTCTTTCTTTCTTTAATTGAACTTATTTAGCTATTGCTGTTCACTATAAAGTATTTTTTTTACTCTCTACTTAATATTTAGGTAGGTACTTATATTGAGATATAAGTACTTACCTAAATATTTTTTTTTATATATACGCATATCATTTTTTTTTTCAATTAAATGTGTTTAAAACAGACGCACGTAATAACTATATATACATATTTTGATTTGTTTGATTTTAACGATGAAATAAATAATTAAATAGTTAAGTAACAAAAAGTTTAACGGGTATTCGTTTGATTTTGTAGATACCTATTTTTTTATAAATAGTATCAAAATAATAATAATTAATAAGTATAAAATTTATGTAGATATTTATTTCATTTCGTCAAGTTATTTTTCTCCTCAAAAAGCCACATAACAAAGAATCGAATAGAATATTTTTTTCAAATAACGATTAAATCGTCATATTTAGAAAGTAAAATTACTGAAATTTGTCATACAGCAGTCAGCAAGTATTGTCTTTAATTCACCGGAAAGCGGAGAGCACATTTGACATCTCGAATGGACTTTCTTAGGAAAATAGAATATATTCGTGTTCTATTAAATTAATTATGAATATGTGTTCTACTATATTGAATATGTCATGTAATCCCATTTTAAACAATACCGAACTGCAAATATAAATTGTGTTTTTTTTCAGATATAAAATTGTTCAGTCAACGTATTTGTTGTAATAGTAGGAAAAGTATAGTATTTTTATTATTTGGCTAAATTGGCAGCGACTCCAATGTCCTCTCATGGGAAATATTTTGAAACATGAGTGGATTTAAACTGTAAAGAATTTTAGAGTTCCTTACTTATCTATATATATTATATTTCATACAAATCTGAGTCGAATCTGTACATGAAATATTTTTTGGTAAATCTTATTGAAATAGTCTTTATTATTGATATAGAAGCGAAATCTATAGTTTTTAGATTTTTTGTCTGTATGTCTGTCTGGGAACGCATCACGAGAAAACGACAGGACAGATTTTGATGAAATTTGGTATGATGATAGCTGGTTATCGAGGTTAACATATAGGATATTTTTTACTCCGGGAAAATATCTCATTTCTGAAAAATCTATACTAAACGTTAAAACGTATCCTGAGGAATGAACCCGAGTGGAGCGAAGGTAAGTCGCTAATATTTAAATAATACCATAGGTTAAAAACCAAAAATCGAATGCAAATATACACTTATCAGAACTGATATACACACTTGTACAAACTTCGATAGAATTTAAAATTTTCCTATCTCAAGATTAGCAAATGTGTACTGTATAAACAAACTTTCCTATCTTTAGTCGGAGTTTTTATCATTCGATCCTTAGGGTTTGGGTTTAGTCGATGGTCAGAGAGATCGACACTTAAAACTATCATTATTTATTATTACAGGAAGAACATGTGCAATTATTCAAATATTAAGTCAAATATAAAGGGAACAAAATCGACATAACATTTAATAAATGGAAATGCTAAGGATATTTTTTCTGATCGATTAAAGTTCTGTGAATGGTCACACTAAATGAAGACTTTAATAAATAGTTATTAAAGTCTTACAATGTCGTTTAAGATTTTCCTTGGTGTGTGCGTATGTGTGTGTATGTGTGTGAAAGTGCTTGGATAAGTCTAATCTTTTTACTTAGATATAGTTATATTTTTTTCAATCTTTATGATTTAAATATGTACGGAACCACTCAACAAACACTCTACGCATTATGTTTCCATTCTGAGACAGTGTCAAATATCGGTCACGTAGTGCTTACTTCTAAAGTTATGACGTTCAGTAACACAATACACGTATCACATTATTGCTACAGTAGGAAAATTGTTTAAAAATAATAAATAAAAACTTTTTAACAAAAAAATAAAAACCGACTTCAAACAAAAGCACTAAAAAGTAAAAAAATAACTGATTGGTAGTTTTCATTTACTATACATACCTAATCGAATATTTTCGAAGTCGGTGTGGTTTGCTTTGTATGGGCTGGCACCGATTTCGAAAATATTTGATTAGATATGTATTTGATTAGGTAGGTACGTATAGTAAATGAAAACTACCAATCAGTTATTTTTTTACTTTTTAGTGCTTTTATTTGAAGTCGGTTTTTATTTTTTTGTTAAAAAGTTTTTATTTTTCCCTTTTTAGTGTAGACAGTAGTAGCAAAAGTAAGAATTCTAACGTGTTAGGCTTGTCAAATCAAACAAAATAAGCCCAAACTCAAAGTATCTACTATTAATCGTTGAAGAGTTCCACCTAGACACGTTCTGGCTTTACCATTAGATCAGGTCAACAATACCGAACCACTGTACTATCAACGGAAATAGAAACACTTGCAAAGTTTCAAGTCAATATGACAATTAGAAGTAGGTTAAATTCATCATTAGCTAGTTTTCCACCCTTAGAGGTGGTATTTTTTTTTTAATTTAAATGGGACCAATCTGGAAGTATACACTTTCAAACGACACAAAAATTGTCCAAATCGGTTAATAAATGACGGAGTTCTGAGGTAACAAACATAAAAAAAATACAGTCGAATTGAGAACCTCCTCCTTTTTGAAGTCGGTTGAAAAGCTAAAATATGAATAATTATATTTTTTATGCCTTTGTTATCTAAGTCAAACGTATTGACTATTATTGTATTATCTCTTTCTTTCGATACTGAACAAGTCCTTGAGTAATTCAGACTATTTGACTCGAAAGCTACAATCATTGACTTCGGTTACCGCAAGTCAATTAATATGCCTTTCAATTTAGGTTGACAGTTTTCTAAACATCTTTAAGTAGGTAAGTTTTTTATATTTTTTAAATAACAATAGTGCTTTAAAATATTTTAATACTAAATTTCGAAGACAGAAATAAATAAGAAAAATAATAAATAAGTAGGTATCTATACATATAATAAAAGTATAACTGATCGCTGTCTGTACATGGAAGATATTTGAGAACAACTATCATTGGGGGTCTTTATTTACGGAATATATTATAGAACCCAAAACAATGATTTT